GCTACCACATGGGCAGTGCAGACGGGCCACCTTTCCACAGTCGTGGATGGCCCCGTGGCAGCATGCCGACAGGCCCGCGCCTGCCTTGCTCCCCAGCCCCGAGGTCCAGCTCAGCACCCAAAACAGGGCGGTGCCCAGCGGCCACCAACTCCCGCCCCCAGTGTACCCTGGGCTCCCAGCTTGTTCCCCACAGAGCCTTCCCCAGGGACCGAATCCTGAAAGCTGCCTTCAGTATTCAAATCAGGCAGCAACTTTCACTTCCCCAGGGGCCGGGCCCCTCACTGCCAGCAGGGAAGTCAAATTTGCCTGAGGCCACAGTCCTCTCCCAGGCCGCTCACTGGGCCTTGCAGAGGGTGGAACTGCTTCTCCCCAGGCCCGGAGGCCCCTCAGCGTCCGCCCAGTTCCCTGGGCCTGCCTCTGAGCTGGGCCGGCCCCCCGGTGACCGGTGACCTCCAGTCCCCTCCTGGGAGCAGCAGCCAGAAAACAGAAACCGCGGTGGGAGCGGAGGGTGGGATGGCAGCAAATAGGGAAGGATGGCTGCGCCCGCTGGCAGGATCATCCTGCTCTCAGGAGAAAAAGGGGAAAAGAGGCAATCGCCTCCCGCGAGCTTCTGCTTCGCCCGGAGAAACTGCTTGCCTCATTTCCTCCGCAGTTGGGGGAGCCTTGTGAAAGCTGCCGGTTCCACACGGTCTCACCCGGGGTGGACCCCGCTCCAGGGCGCGTGTGCATCTCTGCCCCTCCGGTCAGCTGCCTCTTCTGGGGAGCACGCGGGTCTCCCCGGCCTCCAGGGCAGGCGAGACGCGGCTCTGGAAGGTTCTACGGGAGGGCTGGAGAGCTCCCCGTGCGGCCTGGGACCATGTCAGCCAGCAGCAGCCACCGAATGTCCCGGCGTCTGTGTGAGCTCGTGGCAAACACAGGCCCGAAGGAGTCGGGGCAGCTCCCTGATCCCACGTCCACGCGTGCGGGCGGCAGTGAGGCCTGCGTGGTTCAAGCAGCCCGACCCCCCTCCTCTGTAAACACAAGAGTTTAAAAATGCAGGCAGCCTTCTGCGGGATGATATGAGAAGTAAGTACCTGGAAACTGTCCTCCAGGTAGTAAGCTCCTGGGCGGGCGTCCTCATGTGGCTCAGGGATTCTCGGGGAGATAACAGAAATTTCGAGGGCGTGAGAGGAGGGAAGCCGGCCCCCAGCCTCCCCGAGCGTCCCCGCCGTTTTCTTGTGTCCGGCTGACCCTGGAAAGCACAGCCCACTTTCTGGGGAGTTGGACACAGTCCACACATGCAGAAAAACCTCCCAGTAAGAGGCACAGCCAGAGTATTTTGAAAATCTAATTAAGCGTAATTTTTTTTTTAACTTAGGTGATGTACATTAAAATAGATAGAAGTGAAAAGACTTAAAAACGTGAGCTTGTAGCAAATTCACTGAACACTTCCTAGCATCTGAGTTGGAACTCTTTAAAATGACATGAAATCCGGAGGGGCTGTGCCCAGCCAGCCCTGGGGCCTGGAGCCTGGAAGCTGAGCGGCGCTCTCCCCCTGGTGGTGAGGGTGCCGCGGGGACCCAGCCGACAGCCCCGTTTCCAGGGCCCTTCCAGCACCAGGGGGAGCCACTGCGACGCCGGCCCAGGCCCCGCTGAGGCACCTGTCTCCTGTGTGAGCGGATATTCCGGGCTTTTCCATCCTTCCGAGGTTTTGCTAGGAGGATGCTTAGCCACACCCTCTGCTTTTCCCCGAGACGTGTTGCCCTGACAATCAATCTCCCCACTGAACAGACACTGAAAACACCTTTTCTCCAGATACTACTCAGAGCCTCAAATACCCGAAGCACAGCACAGAGACGGGTCTGGGCAGGAGGAAGAACAGAAACTGCTTCAGCGCACACGAGCCCGCCCGTTCCCAAGCACGCTTCTCACTGACTCCTTGGGGTCTTTAGCAAACATCACCCTGTGGGAAATAAGGGCCCTGGCCTGTGTGGGCCAGTGGTTAGAGGATCGGCAGGGCACCCAAGGGTCTCAGGTCGATTCCCAGTCAAGGGCACATACCTGGGTTACGGGTTCGATCCTCAGCCTTGGTCAGCGTGCGTGTGGGAGGCAACCAATAGATGTGTCTCTCTCACATCGATGTCTCTCTGCCCCCCCAGTCTCTCTAAAAATCAATGGAAAAATATTCTCAGAGAATTAACAAAAAAAGAGAGAGCGACAGGAACACAAAGATTCTAAATTCCAGTACCTAGAATTTTAATACAGAGTGGAGCAAAAGGTTTACAGTTGTTTGTATGGAAAATAATACAATAAATAACAATGTAAGAATAAAGTGTTTGAATACTGGCAACTGTAAACCTAGGTTTGCCCAGCCTGTATCTCATACCAGAAAGAGCCCGATTCAGTGGTTGTCTGACCCTGGGCGTGTACACAGGTGTGTGGTTACCGGGGTACGTGCTGGGTTTTTCTCCTGCGAACTTCAGCTGTCCCTTCAATGTACTTCCCCGTTTAAAGCTGATAACCTCTAATCTCAGAAGAGCTCCTTTAAGTCAATAACACCGTTTATCAAGTTATCAGGGAACTGGTTTTGTTGCTTTTTAAAAAATGTCCTATTTTCTCTAGAACATTATAAAGTGTGTCCTGTTTTCTGTAAATTAACACAGCTAATGTGGTAAGGGAAAGACTACACTGAATTCCCCATTTGTTGTGTCCTATGTTTTACATAAATTAACACAGCTAATGTGGTAAGGGAAATACACTGAATTCCCCACTTGTCAGAATAGGGACTCATGACTCGATTCCTCAACTTGGGCAGAATTTTAGAGGCACCTTAAGTAATGCGAGTTTACCTTGAGTTGCCCTTCCTAACCTACCTATTGCGCACGCGGGCTGCAGCAAAGACGAGCCCTGCTCCTTACTTAACGACGTTGCTCAACAGCCTGAGTTACCAAGTCGGGAGGGGTCACAGCCTCTTGAGGGGACATGGGTGGGGCTCACCACCTATCGCCCCTTTTGTCTGGCCATGACGCCAGGCCAGTCTCTTGGCCCAATCTCGCCAACCGATTTGTTGTTAAATGAAAATACTGACCCTTCTGATCAATCAAAATATTCATTTAATCAAGAGTGTGAGCTCCATCCAGCGGTGAGCAACCTGAGGGCTTAGGGTGGCGTCTGGCACAACAGGTGCACAACAGGCCGTAGGCCAGAGCAGAACGGAGTCAGCGAGAGCCTTTGAAATTAGTTACAGCAGGGTTTTTCCAAAGTACCAAGTGGCTCATGAAAAACTTTTTCCATTTCTATGTGTACCACTGTAGGGTGGAGGCCGCTGCATTTTCCAATCTAATTTAGGCCAGCGGAAAGGAATGAGTGATGAAATGCTGACATATTTACTTTGCATCTACTAAGTTTATCCATTAAAATAGATTTATCTGCACCATTTCCCCTAAATTGCGATCGTGCCCTGGCTCCCCAGCAATTCTATTTTGTGCAATTACGTTTCCGGAAGCTTGGCACGCACGCGGGCTGCAGTGGGCGCTCGTGCAGGCTGCGGGTTCCTCCGGGTCAGAAGCACGCGCCTGGCCAGGCTGTTTCCCCAACGTGAGAGCTCACCACCACCTGCCCCCAGCCCCCGGGACAGGATTTATCAGGTCTGCAGCCACAGACGGGCTGTCAGGCGTGCGCACCGCCTGCTCAGACTCCTTTGTAAAATGGGTTTCTGACCAGTCTCCTAAAACGAAGGTGAAATCGGCACGTGCCTCGCAGCTACTTTTTAAAGCTATTTGGACAGCTTTGCTCAATTTGGAGTCGGATGAATGACTGTTTGCAAAGGATTCTGATTATGAGAAGTTTACTTCTAAATACAATCTCATATATGTGCAAAACATGTATTTTAAAAAAGTTTATTAAATATTTATCTATATTTGGTCATTGTCTCTCCAGCCCCATCTCCACATGTGGTTTTCTAAGAACCTTTCGGGGTGTTTTAATTCTTACTCTTGCCCCTCTATCACTTACTAACAAATCTACTGCCACAAAGACAACAAAACCCACTAATTATGCAACAACTGTACGTCTCACACTTTAAGAACACTCTTTCACTGAGTCTTTAAGAATCACGAAGGGTGCCCTGTTGTTAACAGTCACACCACCTATACTGTTCGTGTGCCGTCAGGAGTGGAAACTCCCGTCCCCCCACCTCCTGCCCCCGGGGCAGCAGCGTGGCCCAGAGCCTCCTGGGGCCTTCCCTCCCGCCCAGGCCTACACCAACTACTGCGCGACCGGCCTTTCACCGAGCAAGAGCCGGGGGCTCTCTCCCTGTTGAGGTACATTCATAGCATTCACCTGATTTTTAAAAACCGTTCCAAAAAACCCCATGAACAAGTCTCTATTGATAGATGTTTAAGTTGTGTTTCTTCATATATTAAAGTTTCAGTGAACTTATCTGTAGAGCATTGACCTAGAAGTAGAACGTTTTTGGTAGATATGATCAAATTGCCCTCCTAGAAAGGCTGGACTCACCACACTCCCCTCACAGGGTGTGGCAATGGCCTGCTCTCCAAACCTTTACTGTGAACTATCAGTATCATGACAGTTTCCTAGTGTTTAATTTTATATCTTGCTGCTTTGGCTCCCTGTATAAAGGCGACTGACTGGTATGAACAGCAGTCAAAGATCACCAGACATTCAACAAACTTTTGTTTACAATAAACAAAAGGTGAATAACCTACTATCCTGCCCCAAATGCCCTCAGCAGACTGACCACAGCCCCTCCACAGGACGGGTCCTGGCGGCTGTGTAAGGGGAGACGCTGTTGATGTCCGTTAGCCTGGGAAACGGTGACGACACACACTAGAGAGAACGCGGGGGATGCCTGTCCTGCCTCAGCACCAGGGCACTTGGCTCTCGGGCGCTCGCAGTGCTCTCCCCAGCGGCAGGGAGCAGCCCTTGCCACCTTGTCTCCCTCCTCACCTCTACTGTGCAGTTCCCACAATGACCTGTTACTTATAGAGCAGAACCGTGCATCACAGACATCCACATTTACTTCTGAAAGACACCGATACTTCAGGCTCTCACCTGGTGTTAAATACAATGTTAGACATCACCTGCCCCCAGAAACCCAATCCTCGCCTTTCAGTTCTGTGGTACATCTGACACTAGACTACACTGTGCTTTCTGAACATGTTTTATTAGCTGGTCCTGCTAAGAGAAAACAGTGAGAGGTTACAAACCGAAGTAAAAACTGGCCCTTTCCTTCCAGTGTTTGGTGAGACCTTAAATTGTAAACAACAGTAAGCAATGCCCTGTCTCAATCGTAAACCACTACGCTAGCAATGACAGACGTACTTAAATCACACACCCTCACACACAAGTAAGACGTAAGAGTTTCAATCTGAGCTCACTGTTCATCCCACTGCACATCCTGAAGAGAGGCCCATTAGAAACAAAACAAAAAGGCCCCTTCATATCGGGTATGAACAGGTGTACACACCAGGGAATCACTGGGAGAAAACCCAGCTTCTATCGACACGGGCTGTCCGTCGGCTGTAACATCAGAGTTGTTGTTATTCTCTCTCACCTGCGGCATCAGATTCAGAACACCCGCCCCCAGCACGCAAATGACGCCCCCTGTTCCTGCGCTCAGAACGGGGATGCACCACAGAGGTGCCCTCTCTCAACTGGAAGGGTCCCGTTCACTTTCCACAACCAAAAGTTCTGTTCCAGTTTTCATAAAGCTCTAGATCTTTCGGGGACACGCTGGGCCGCACGGTTCTGAACGCGTTTTCAAAGTCAACGTACGTTATGGGTGGGACTTGGTCGGCGGTTATCGTGGCGATGTCGGTGGCCTGTAGGCTGCGGATGGGGCCCAGGGATGCCTCTCTGCACAGCTGTGTCACGTCAGCCCCTGAGAACCCTTCCGAATGCTGCACAACCAGCTCCAGGTCCTCCTCACGGAGGAGGCACTGCTCCTTGGACATCAGGTTAGTCACGATCTGCCTCCGGGCGGAGGCCTCTGGGAGGGGTATGTACAGCCTTTTCACCAGCCTCCTCCGGGCAGCCTCGTCGATCTCCTGTGGCCGATTGGTTGCTCCCACAACGAGAATACGATCTTCTGAAGATGTGGTGGCTCCATCCAACTGGACCAGGAACTCGGTCTTGATCCTCCTAGAAGACTCGTGCTCACCATCCGCCCGCTGGGATAACAGGGAGTCGATTTCATCAATGAATATCACAGCCGGCTGCTGGCACCTGGCCACTGCAAACAGCGCCCGGACCATCTTCTCCCCCTCGCCCACCCACTTGGAGGTCAAGGAGGAGGCAGAGATGCTGAAGAAGGTCGCCCCAGACTGACTAGCGATGCACTTGCCAATCAGGGTTTTCCCCGTCCCAGGGGGACCGAAGAGCAGAATTCCCTTCGGTGGGCCTCGCAAACCGGTGAAGATGTCTGGCCTCATCATGGGCCACACAACGATCTCCTTTATCGTGGCCTTGGCGAATTCCACCCCTGCAATGTCCTCCCAGTTTACTGGGGGCCCATGGTCCATGATCTCACTCATGATCAGCTCGATCATTTTTGGCTCCAAGCTCTTCAGACGCTCGTCAACTGGGTGTGCTGCTTCTGGGGGTACAGCCCCGTCCGGCTCATGCTGCACCCTCCCACTCGCGTCCCCCACATCTGGCTTAGGGACAGGAGGGACAAACTTCCCAAAAATCCCTCGGGATCGACTGGCCCCCAGGGACTTCTTCACGCCGCCGTAGGAAGACACTGACGCACGTGCGGGCTGCTGGTGCTTTTTCTGCTGCTCTACCCACAATTGTTCCTTGGCAGTTTTAAAGGTGGGTAGGCTGCTTTCCTCTCGGTGGCCATTACCTTCTGTTTTACCAAGAGCCTTATTCAGAGTCGGGGCAGAAAGGGCATTGGTGGGGCCAGAGCTGTACAATGGGCTCCTGTCACTGAAGGAAGGGAAACGGGACGGATGGGGTAAGAACATATTCAGTCCCGTGCTGGATTTAGGAGAGCTGCCATTTTCCTTTCTGACAGTTCCAAACAACGGTGTGGCTAAGTCACCAAATGGTGTCGAGTACGTGGGACACGTCTTTGGGGTGTTAGTGGCCACTGGTGGCTGGGCATTGTGAGGGCCCAACGGACCGCTCTCTGGGATGTCCGGGGCCCGGCCTGTACTGGGAGCTGGCTTAGTCAATGGGTCACTCTCCCTAGAACAACAAAAGCTGAATTTTGGAGGATCGGGGACCACGGCCCCTTTATGGATCACTACCATGGCATCAGCAGGGGACAACAGGGAGCCTCGGAACTTCTCGCCAGCCCGCATCATCTCCTGTACACCCCTCATCTGGAAAACGTTATCTATGGACAGCCCAGACTGCCACTTGTCACTGTCAGCTTGCTGAGCACCTGCTAAAGGTAAAACGTGTTCTGCATAGTTATTCAGGCCAGTTTCAACATTGTCAGAATCGATAACTGCAGAGTATTTCTCAGCATACTTCTTGAACAGTTTGGCAGCACAGACCTGGGAGATCTCGGAGTTCGCCCACGCGTACTGGATGCGCAGGATCTGTGCCCGGTAAGCGTCTGCCTTCTGCCCCGCTGTGCACGTACCAGATGTAGTTGTAAAGTAGTTCTTCTGCCACTCGCTTAGGTGCACAGACCTGGAGCCCGAGGCCTGCATTTTACAGGCTCTGTAACAGAGACAAAAGTGAAAGTGTCAGTAACAGAAGAAGACAAAGGTAGACTTTTAAATCTCTGCTCATACTGGATTTTTCACTTATAAGGTAATTTATAAGGACAGACCATTTGCAAAGGAAATACTAATTATTCATAAATTTCAAGCATTCAAGATATAAAAGATTAAAGACTCAACTTAATAATGCCTCATTATGGGTTAAACTGTTGTAGTTATATAATAATTTTCCTTGCAAACAGGGAAAGCATTCATAAGGACTTAAAAGTAATCAGCAAAAAGAAAGGCAATACGGCAGCAACGTGGAACTATATACAGACAAAGCAAAACAAACCAAGCCCGGGGTTCAGTATGGTCTCCAAAAAAAAGCAGGTGAACAATCTCAAGTGAGCCTCTTACTGTCGCTGAATCTTCAGTTTCATCTGTAAAGTGAGAGAAATCATTGTCAGAATCAAGTCACATAACAAGTATAAAAATGCTTTGAAAACTATTACCAGCCCTCGTGCGCGAATGTAGAAGCCATGGCTGCGCCTGTGAAGGCGGTCCCTCGAGACCAGTGTCAGCCCGGGAGCCAGAGCTCGCACAGGAGCAGTCTCACTCCGGGGACAAGCACGTTCCTGCGTGCAAACGCCCTGGATGCTCCCGCCACAGGTGAGAGCAGCGCGGTCACGCGTGGGAACCAGCATCACTAAGCATTTGTAAGGACGTATTCGTGAACGAGCACCTAAAGCAGGAAGCTCCAGGACTCTCACTGTTTTCCAGACTCACCTGAAGTATTAGTAAGTGAAGCCGTCTTGATATACAAACTACGAGAACAAGCTACATAATCTGCTAGTAAAGTGCTTATATTTTTTATTTCTTCCCTCAAGTTATTTTTATTCCTCCTTACATTAAGTGAAAGTTATTTTAACACAATTATAGATGAATATATCCTGTTGCTGGCTGTGTGGAATTTACCTGCCAACCCATGAGGAAAGTAGGTAAGAAAATGTTCAGTCTCCTAACAGTATTGCAATAAAGGAAAACCCAAGACCTTGTGTATTTTAAAAGTCACCTTGCAAATCACCTGTAAATATAGCTTAAGAATCATGTGTAATAGTTTCGTATCTCCCATAATACCCTACAGAGAATCTGTCCCACTGTAGGTAGGTGTTAATGAGTCTTTGTTAAAAAAATAAACTTAAGACTCAGGGAAACTCTAATTTGCTTAAAGTTATAAAGATAAATAAAGAGTCAAAACTACACCTGCCGTCTCCCGACCATCCCTCTTCTTGCTACACCATTTTAACGTCCTTTGATCTCTTCTGTGCAGCGCTGGAAACAGGAGGTTGGAGGCAGGTGACTTGGAACAGGTGTGTCACAAACTTTCCTTTCCTGTGGACATCCCCGTGCCCCCCGCGGCCCTGGGATTCCTGGAGGCCGAGTTCTCGCCCCTGTCCCGGGCACACCTTCCCTGTCCTCTCCACCTGAGGAAAGATCCCCAAATTCACCTCCCTTCTGACCTCCTCCCTGGAACGCAGTCTCCGTCCAGCAGCGGTGGACACGGACAAGCGCCTGTTCTAACCCACACCTGCGGGCCAGTCCTGGTCAAGGGCACAGCCCCCGCCCCTGCGCCCTGGTCCCCGTGCCCTCCTGGCGCCTCCAGGTCTAGGCAGGGCGCTGACCGAGCCGGGCCTCTCCGGCCTCCGCGCACAGGGGACCTCGTGTCCCGCGCAGGGGCTCCCGCGAGGGGGCGTGTTTCCATCACGCGGACCGAGTCCAGGCCCCGCCTCCGCGGTCGGCATCGCCCCGCCCCCCAACCCCGCGCAGATGCTGCAGATGCTGCAGAACTTTCCAGACCCCCGGGCACGGGGCCAGCGCCGCACCCGTGCCTTGCCATGGGCCCCGTGGATTTGCAATGAGCCCCGCGGCCTGTCCGTGGCCCCGTGGGGTCACAGCGGCACCCCTTGGCGGGCAGGGGCTTCTGGCTCCGCGAAGCGCTCGGAGCCGCGCCCCGCTCAGCAAACGCCCCGAGCACGAGCCCGACCCCACAGCCCCCACGCACCGCCTCCCTCCCACGCGCGGGGCCGGCGGCAGCGCAGGTCTGCGGGGTCTACACGGGCTCCGGGCCAGAACCACTCCGGGCCGGCCGGAGACGCCCCCGCGGGGATGGG